TCAAATGTAAGTATATTGATTACTATTGTGATCAACTGTTTTTTGATTTTTTCAATTTAAACTGTTATTAATTAATCTTATATTAATATACTATTTCCAATCAGAATGATGAACAAAAGTGCATCAATGTATTCAATAAATTGAAAAAGTTTTTTAGTAATCAGTTTTATTTTGAAATAGAGGATGTTAATAATATGCTCGAAGATAACAATGAGATATAAAGAAGCAGAATAGAATATATAAAAAGTTTTGTTGAAAAAATTAAAAGCAATAACAATACAACAACAATAATATTCTATAATCCCATATGTTTGCTAAAAATCAATACATGAAATTTTTTATATTTTACATATATTCACAAAAATTCAATATTTCTATTTCTTATAAATAACAAATAATCTAATTAATATAAATAAATTTTTTTCTTCATTTTTCTTTACGCTTATCATATTCTTTAACTTTTTTCCAAAGTTTTATTCTATCAACCATTTCTTCTTCAATTTCAAATCTCAAAAATTGTTGTACACTCCATCTCTCGACAACTTTTTTAACTGATCCAACCAAATCACCGACATCTTCATCACTTTCTTCAAGTTTCAACGCTCCTCCTAGAATTATAGCACGCTTATAAACCATTTCTTGTTCATAAATATCTACTATACAATTTATATAATAATGTGATAAAGATAATGATATGTCTGCTACATCATTAACATCACTATCATTATTATTAAAATTGTTTGATTTTGGTTTTGATTTTTTGGTGGAAATTGGTTTCTTGTTTTGATTTGATTTTTGTGATTTCTTTTGTTTCTTAGCTGATGACGATGATGATGGCGGTGTAACATTCTTACCTAATAACTTATTGTTATCATCATCATCATCATCTTTATCCTTACCACCACTAATTGATACAAATAATTTTGCTCCCTCACTACTACTACCATAAAATAAACTTGAAAAAATCTTTTCTATTTGTAATTGTATTGTTTGCATAGATTTTAATATTTCTTCGAATTCATTATTAAGAATATGATGA